TAACTTGAAAGTTGTTGACCCAATTCTAAATTGACTAAGCTGTAGTAATCTTGCTAGTTTTTTCCTAATGTTCCCTACATAATTACATAATTACACTTAATATGTGCAACATAAAGCAGCAGTTACTTCTTATTATAATTATTTAATATGGTAAATTACACTAAACCCTTATGAACTTTTAGCCCCTGTGAATTACTTTCAAAATCATGCAAAACCTCTAATGACTTTTCTGTTTCAAATGACACCCTCAATAACTTTCTAAAATTTGCAAATAACCCCATAAATGAGAAGCAGAAAATGACATAAAAAGGTATTTTGAAAGTTATTGGAGGTTTGGTGTAATTTATCTAAAAGATATTAGAGGTTTTCTACAAAAGTTATTACGGGTTTATTGTGATTTTGAAAGTTCACAGGGTCTATTTACTACAATATGCTAAAAGTTCATGGGGGTTTACTATAATTTACCTTATTTAATATTATAATTCTTAGTTCAAGTAATACTATTAAAATAATTATATTATCTTTATACTACAAAATATGTATGTAATTTAATTTTTTAGGCATGCATTTAACTAATTTAATGTTATAAATATTTTATAATTTTTTATTATACTATCATTAATAATTAATAGTACTTAATATTAAGTAATTTTCTCGAAAGGTTAGTTTTCAATCATTACCAAGTATAGATTATCCAGTATCATGTAATAATCTTTGAGCAAATACTCGAAAAAATAGCATTAAATTATTCATTCAATTTATGTAATAATATAATACTAAATAAATAATGTAATTCATAATTTATGTGATATTATTAAAATAAGTACACTATTTATGCGATTAAGTATTTATTCTATTTATTTTATTGATCATTGAATTATAATATAATTTTTGATAGTATTTAGTAATAAATTATTCTATTTATACTATTATTTTAATTATTTTATTATCATTCATAAATAATTATTATAGTAATTTATTTGGTTACTACTAATAATTGTGTATATTTATTTTATAAATTATTTTATTATATTATTTTTAAACAAGTAATAGTTATAATATTATTAATAATTATAATTATTTAGGAAGGTGAGGAGGTTCATAATTAATAAGAAGTTATATTTATTTAATGATAGATTAATTGTAGACAATGATATAGTTAGAATTTATCAAAATTGAAGAGGGTAAAAAAAGAAATTAAAAGTTTTAACACCCTAATATTTTTTTAATAATAGTATAGATATAGATTAATTGTTCACACTTAAAGTCCTTTGCCAGGATGAGAAATTCTACTCAACCATATAGAGCAAATATCAATAGTAATTTTTTACATTTACTGAACTAATTTAATACATTGTCCTGTAATTAATAAACATGAATACCGCACATAACCTTCCAATTTCCATTAGGAAAATGATTTAAGGACCCAAAATATTGGACCAATGGAGGGGACAGGTGATGTGTCCCCTCCCTATTGCATAATGAGTTGGCATGGCCAACTCATTATGCAATAGGGAGGGGACACATCACATGTCCCCTCCATTGTCCCAAATTTTTGGTCGCCCGAGGCAGCACTCTTTCATTATATATACGTAAAGAGATCCGGTCTACTTTCAACAATTAATGCACAACGAGATAGTCACGTAAAATCTCATGAATGGTGTAGGCATCGAAAATTGCCTATAGGTCTCCACGAACAGCTCAGTGTTAAGAAATAACGATGAACGTCACCATCTGGTTCACAGAAGCTTAATTGATGTCGGTGAACGCTTGAAGTAAACTGACGAACTACGTGAAACAACGGAACTTCGGAATGATGAAGATATGAACTGATCAGGAACCTCGTATCGTTCACAAACGGCGAAATACCCTTCGTGACTCATTTGTTCAACTGATGATCTAATCATTGGAGCTTATAGAACTCTTTGTCAGCTTTCCAACGCACTTGGAATCACTCAAATCCGAGTTCGGACGAAGAATTTACGGTGGAAACAATCAAACAGGCATAACGAAGCGTCTCAGGATGAACTGGGGCACCCGAGGTGTCTCGGCCCAGTTTGAGACACCCTGGGGTGTCTCTAACGCAGAAATGGCCTTTTAGGCTGTTTTAACCGCCCGGACGTCTGTAAAGCCTATAAATAGAGCCCCCGGGTCCTCATTTTTTCAGATCCGAAAATTTGGAGATTAGGCGAAGCCCTGCCGGATTGAAGACTGAAGGTGCACGGATTTCAGAGAGGAGGAGGAGAGATCGGATCGAGTTCTTCAACGCAAGAGAGAGAGATTCGTCAGATCTACAGTTTCCCGGATCCGTTCATTAGGATTATCCCGTTGCGGTAATCTTAAGAAGAGTGATTATCTCGCTTCGCCGAGATAAGAGCTACGGTTTCTCGATCCCTTCGCGGATAGACGAAGCTCTGCCCAATTTTTCAGCAATCAGATCTGATCGACGGTGGTCCACGGATAAACCCCGACACAGGCAAAGATCACACGCAAGCAGAAGACCGATAAACGATCTCTGCGTTTGTTTGATAAAGTTGTAAACTTTTTTATTTTCATTGTGTAAGGAGATCTTATAAAAAGATCAATTTTTTTATTTTATTCGAGTTCATTGTAACGACTAAAGTTGTAATAGATTCGATAACAATGAAAACATCAACTTTCACCGCAAACAAATGGATTTACACAACTCAATTAGGTCAGCTCGTTTTGTATTAAGCTGCATCATACATCACGAACCTCTTGTCCTTTAAATTAATTTCTAATGTTTGACTTTGGACGCTAACGCTCAAGTCAAAGCAGTGAATCAGCTCGGTCTCTAAATGCGGCAAAAAATAAAGCTTGGAAATATTTACATAACCGACAATTAAGTGCGCAAATAACGCTAACGAGCATCGTGGGAGTCGGTTGGTGGTTATATAGGTATCGGTACATGTGTAGGGATTTTAGCACAAGACCCCAATTTATGTGGAGTAAAGAACATTATAAAAAGTGACGTTTTAGCTTCATTGGTTCTTTAGATTCCAAGCAAGTGCTTGCACCTTTAGGACACGAAGTACATGTGAAAACCTCTGTCCTTCGGTGGTTATTTTTGTTTTTCATTCTTTAGTATGTAGACAATCTTGTGTTGTTTCATCTGAAGAGGTCAATTTTTTTCGGATAATTAATAAGATTTTGAGAAATTTACTTCAGGCCACTTTGTGGGAAGTATATTTAGGTCTTGCCCTTTAGACCGAGCAACTTATTTGCGAACATACCCATTTTGTGTTAAAACAGAGCCAATGATTTTGTAGAAGCGGGGAGACCTTAAAATTTCACTGGGGGACTGCAATATATAAAGAATTTCAAGAAACTTCTAATTATATACTTAAACGATCTATATTCTGCACATGGATTATAACGAGTGCAATGTTTTTTGTACGATAAAAAAATGGAAGCATTCCATTTTACTCGCAATTCAGTTTCTGTTGGAGAAACGATCAGTCACATATGTCGTTTATCTGTCAGTCAGAGCTTCGTAATAACTTCTGTACATCTCTAATCATTTCATTGTCTGTTCGGATGTCTTCTCCCTTTCTTTCTCTGTGTTCGGCTAAGTTTTGAGATTTCCTTCATCGTTCTTTAACGTCAGACAAAAATATAGATTATTCTTACTGTTATTTCTATTTTGAACGTTCCTAGAATGAAAGACCATTCTCACTTAATAATGCTAACGAATATCACCTTAAAAACAAAAGAAAAAAAAAGAAAAACTGAAAAAACTTTAGGGTCCATAAACAAAGTACGTTCTAAAATAGGACCAAGCGAAAATTATCCCACCCTTATAAAATCCCATCAACCATGATTATGACCAGCATCTAGCAAACACTGAACCCAAACTATTAAAATGGACGGGCCCCACTACACGACCATCGGTCTCCTCCTCCTCGCCGCCGTCGGCTACTTAAACTGGTCGAGCAGCAACCATGGCAGTTTTCAAGTTCGAATCCCCATCCCCTGGCTCCAGCCAGAGATGTCCTTCATAACATGCGTCGGCACGCGATTCGTTGACTCCAGCACTGGGTCGCCGGTATACGTTAACGGGTGGAACTCGTATTGGATGATATCGTCGCTGTCGCCCGAGTCCATTGAGGAGATGATGAGGAGAGGGAGGGAAATGGGGATGACGGTTTGCCGCACGTGGGCTTTTTATGATGCTGGGGCCCACCCGCTTCAGCTCTCTCCCGGTGTTTTCGACGAGAGTCTCTTTCAGGTGTTGTCTTTTTATTCCCCATCAAGATTCGCGCGCTTCAAATTTTGTTTTTGAATCTAAAAGGACCGTCTTTTTTAGGGTTTGTAAACTATTTATCCCTAAATTATCAATACTGATGTATATATCTTTCAGATGCTGAATTATCTGTGGCGCGAATTACTTTTTTTTTTTTTTGCTTCAAAATTCTTGCTTTTCAAATGATTGGATTTTTTCCTCCCTTGAAGTTGGAAAAGAACGTCTTTTTTTAATTTGATTTCGTTTAGAAATGGATGGAGCGAAATTTTATTGATAGTAAATAATAATTAGTTGACAAAGATGTCTTTTTTTACTCGCTAACAATTTGCATTGTTGGTTCTTGCGAATTTTTTTCTGGATTTTGTCGTTTTTACTTTCCTTTTTGAATTCTAATTCGGAAGAAAAATCTTTCGGGTTTTGGGGAATTAATGGCTTTCCTTTGAAATTAGAGTTTCTGGGTTTATTTATTTTATTTAATTTTTTTACCTCCCTTTGAGAATGGTTCATTGTATATGAATGAGGGATGTTTTTCAGTGGGCCAGTGATATTTAATAGATGAATATATCAAAAAGGAAACGGTAGCGCGCACCCCCAACCACAACTCTAACCACACCTTCTTTTTTATTTGTTATAGTGCACCGGGCCCCACATAAGATTTTAAAATTTTAAAATCTCATATGAGGCCCGGTGTACTGTAGCAAATGAGAGAGAGAGAGGGCGTAGTTGGAGTTGTGGCTGGGGTGTGTCTCTATCATTTTTCAAAGAGAAACTCCTTTTGGGTAGCAATTGGAATTTTTATGGTGGATTTTATTAGCTTGATTAGTTCTGTACCTTAGTGTTATGAATTATACTTGACTGCTTAGGCTTTAGTATACAACATCCTTTTCATTTGTTTATCTACTTATTTGGTTTCAGTTATTGGATTACATAATATATCAAGCGAGAAGGAATCATATAAGGTTAGTTCTGTCACTTGTAAATAATCTTAATGCGTTTGGAGGTAAAGCTCAGTATGTGAAATGGGCAAAAGCAGCAGGAGCCAATGTGTCATCGTCGACTGATTCTTTCTTCTCGCATCCTCTCATAAAGAGATATTATAAGGCTTATGTAAAGGTAAATGTTACTGACTCGCTTCTTATCCTCTCTCAAGAACTGAATTCAAGGTTGTCAAATTGCCGCACACGTTTAGGTTTCGATATAGCGTAGTTTGGCCTCTCAAAGTGGAAAACAAGTGTTTTGTCATTAATATGCCCTTTATATTTATCGGTATGGTTGTTGATAATGGCTGCTTGTTCAATAATGCGTCTACTGTCTTATAACAACTTGATGACTTGGGCCTGAAGAAACTGAATGTATTTTGTGGATCCATATGAGGTTTTATTTTATGAAATTTAGTCCACAAAAATCTTAATTAGCGATAAATGGCGGTATATCATATTGAACACCTTTGAACTTTTTTGCATGTCTTGGTTATAATGGCTGCTTGTTCAATAATGTGTCTACTGTCTTATAACAACTTGATGACTTGGGCCTGAAGAAACTGAATGTATTTTGTGGATCCATATGAGGTTTTATTTTATGAAATTTAGTCCACAAAAATCTTAATTAGCGATAAATGGCGGTATATCCATATTGAACACCTCTGAACTTTTTTGCATGTCTTGGTTGATTAAACTGAATAATTGATGAGAGAGTTTTTCGCTCTTAACTAGCTTGCTATACTGGAAATACCCTTGTTGTTTATATATTCCCTATTTGCAAGGTACACTTGCACAGAATTTTGGCGCAAAGGTTGATGTCAAGCTATTGATAGCAATTCATAGTGACATTTGGACACTTAAGACTGATATCTAGTTGCTGTTCTATTTATAGATTAATATGAATACAGAAACACATTCCTTAGTGCCATGATGCACATAAATGCAATACAAACCATATGCATTCGAGAGGCCATTAGAGTTTGGTACATCTGATGGTTCTTCTATGTGAACTTTGAAGAGCACCATTGGATATCTCTTTAGACGGCTTTAACCAATAAAAGTCATTTGGCCCAGACCCTTTTTCACCAGGCATTATTTTTTAATCATATCAAAATCATCCTTCATGAATGGTTTTATCCAAACAGTTCTTTTTTTTACAAAAAACCATCTATAACCTGTCAAGTGTTTATTAGCATCCTACAATCCTGGATGGAGCTTCAATGAGAGTATCGAAGTTTTGTCAAGTGTGAGTAAGCTGGGGAGGGTCCTGGGTGACAGTAGTGGCATAAGAGGTTATAAATCATAATTGATGTACAAGGTATAGTCGTATAGATGAGTGTTGTTATGTGCTGTTGGATGTTTTATAGTGGTATAGTACGCGGACGAACAATTGTTCACGAGATCACTGCTAGTCATATGTGAGATCAAAATAATATGTCCATGTACTAGTATCCTACTTTTTATAATTTTCTCTTTAGGAGACTTGGAAACTTCAGCCATGTTTGGCAACTTCAGACAATAATCTACTTAGTTTGTAATCCACAAATGGCTTATAAGTCAACTATAATCCAAAGAGTTTGGCCAATAGTAGAATGTTTGTTAGATGAGTGACTTATAATCCATCTTTGTTGTCAAAATGACCAAAAAAGGATTGGAGAGGGAATATAGAACTTTTGAATTTTCTTAAATGTTAAGGGGGTATAGTGATCTTTTACTTGGTCAAACTATGTTGCCTTATAAGCCACCAAAAAATAAGCTGGGTTACCCCGACTTATATTTTTTGGGCTTATAAGCCAAAAAAGGTGTTTGCCAAACACGTCACAGTGGCTTGTAATCTTAGGTTTAACAACAGTTATTGGTAATTTTAATATGAGTTATATGGGAGAAGTTTATTGTCATCCCTTAAGTGAGTGTAACATCTACAAAAAATTACATTCACAGAAAGATCCATATGATCTTAGGTTTCTGCTACATTAACTTTTCACTCATTTTGAGATAAAAGTGATATGATAATATTGGTGCTGTGATTGCATATCTTGATTTGTTTGTCATACTAACAAATTATTGCAGGCAATTTTGACAAGAAAGAATTCATTCAGTGGAGTCAAATATTCTGATGAACCCTCCATATTTGCTTGGGAGCTTATGAATGAACCTCGGTGTGTGTCCAGCTTATCTGCTCCTCTTCTTCAGGTAATGAAAAAAGGGTTAATTGCGGATAGACCCCCTATGCTACTGCCCAATTGCAGATTGTCCTGTAGTTCTATTGCTGTAGATAGGTCCCTTGAGTGGATTCTTTTTACTCTTTTCATCCTTAGTTTTTTTTACACAACAGGTAAAAGAGTAATAAAAAAATTCACTCAAGGGGTCTATTTGCAACAATAAAACTGCAGGGGGTCTATTGGCAATTAACCCATGAAAAAACCTTGGAATTTGTTGTTTGACTAGAACAGTGTTCATCTTACAAATTAAACTTGCACTTAATTAAATTTTAACTCTTAATAGGCTTGGATCGGTGAGATGGCATCTTACGTAAAGAGTTTAGACTCAAAACACCTGGTCACAATTGGCCTTGAAGGGTTTTATGGCCATCAAAGAACCAACAGGTTAGAGGTAAATCCTGGGAAATGGGCATCTTCACTTGGTTCAGATTTCATCCAAAACTCAGCCCTCAAGCACATCGATTTCGCTTCAGTACATGCATATCCAGATAGCTGGATTCCAAATGCAAACTTAGAAGAAAAAGCCAGATATCTCTCTAAATGGGTCGACACTCATATAAACGACGGTGAGGACGTGCTAAAGAAACCCGTGCTTTTCTCAGAGGTGGGATTTCAGCAAGCAGAAATGAAAAATGGCTTATCTGATAGAGATATTTTGCTGAAGATGGTTTATGAAAAAGTTTATGAGTCCACTAAGAAAGGGGGAGCAGGAGCTGGAGCTTTGATTTGGCAATTGACTGTTGAAGGGATGCGAGGATATCTTGATGAGTTTTCATTGGTTGCGAGTGAGCGTTCGTCTACTTCTAAGCTCATAGTTCAGCAATCTTGCAGGTTAAATAATTTGTTCAGAGAAAGAGGAGGGCGAACTTTGTGCTGAGTTCTTATATCCCTGAGTCTATGTAACACAAAATATTGGATCAGAGATTCTTGTGAGGGTTTTTAGTTGTATGAACTCATGCAGTTCTTCGATGAGGATGAAGAATAAGAGTTCGGTATTTGTATGAACTCATGCAGAGATTAGAGCTGTTGTACATGGAGATGAGTTAGATGATAGAAGTATCTATGTCCTAAAGTTTGTATGTTATTAATAAGTATGTGATATTTAGATTATTTCTTTATTGGGCAGAAATCGTCATATCTTTAATTTGAGATTCTGAATGGTGATAGTTTAAGTATAATATTTTTTTTAATTTATATGCATTTTCTCTTCTTACAAATTGAATGCACTTTTTCCTATTGGATGAAATGTTTTTAATTATTCTTTCTTTTTTGTACTTTTGAATTATTCATGCGGTTGAAGTTTTTTTTTCATAAATAAACTTAAAGTTGGTTGTTTTCTAAATTAATATTTAAAATTTTATTCTTTCCTGAAACTAAAATGGTATAAGATGTAAAAGGGTTTTCTGCATACATACCCCATACGTGTCCTATTTGCAATTTTATCCCCAAATCTTGATATTTGCATTTTATTCTCTCTCTCCGAATTTTAACTATTCATTGATTATTTAAATTAGGGAAAATTGTCTCTAGCACCCAAAACCAGTCCAAGTGTTCCATCTATCCCCAAGACTTTTTCAACGCTTTCAAAACCCCCAAAAGTAAACTCATAATTCCCTGAGCCCCAAAACACAAAACCCAAGAGTTTTAAACATGTGAAGACCATTATACCCTTTCTCTCTTTCTCTCGATAAAATCCAACGGCGGGGATCGCTCCACGTCATCACGGTTCGCCTTCACGGTCTCCCACCTCGACTCACTAAAATCATCTGAGGACGTGGCATAAAATCACATGATTGAGCTACATTATGGATGATCCGCTTCGTTGAACTTGATCTACATATTCTAAAACCCTAACACACCAAGTTTGGGATGAACTCGTCCTCCTTTCACCCTTCATCCACTCGTATCAAATTTAACGGTTTTGAATGAATAGAACTTTTCATATGGCTCGACGGATGGTCAAGCGACGATGGGTTCACTCCAAGCTTGGTGTGTGTGGGCTTTAGAATATGTAGATCAAGTTCAACAAGCGGATCATCCACAATGTAGCTCAATCATGTGATTTTAGGTCGTGTCCTTAGATGATTATCTAAGGCGTCACCTTAGGAACACTTTTCTATATATATATATATATATATAATATATATATATATATGTGTGTGTGTTTGTTTGTTTGTTTGTTTGTTGTTAATGTTGATGGATGAATATGTACAACAATAATGTGATTTTTTATGATGGTTACGGGTCGGTTGTTAAGGTTAAGGGTCGGTTGTTAATGTTATGGGTCGGTTGTTAAGGTTACAGGTCGGTTAATGTTACGGGTTGGTTGTGAGCCTCGGTAACTTGAGATTAAAATAGAGTATGTAAATTTATATATTATTGTTATTTCACGGTAATAAATTTGTTGTTAAGCTTATGAGTTAGTGGTGAAGGGAGGTTAAATGTTGGTTGTGAAGGTGTTACGGGTTGGTTGTTAAGGTTAATGGTTGGTTATTAAGGTTATAGGTTGGTTGTTAAGGTTACGGGTCAGTTGTTAAGGTTAGGGTCGGTTGTTAAGGTCATGGTTGTGAAGGTTACGCATTGGTTGTTAAGGTTACAAGTTAATTGTTAAGGTTACGGGTCGGTTGTTAAGGTTACAGGTCAGTTGTTAAAGTTACAGGTTTGTTGTTAAGATTACGAGTTAGTTGTTAATGTACAGATTGGTTGTTAAGGTTACGGAGGTTACCGAGGTTCACAACCAACCCGTAACCTTAATAATCGAACCGTAACATTAACAAGCGACCCATAACCTTAACAACTAACCTGTAACCTTAACAACCGACTCGTAACATTAACAACCAATCCTTAACCTTAATAAACGACCCGTAACCTTAACAACCAAACGTAACACCTTCACAATCAACGCGTATCCTTTACAACCAATGCGTAATCTTCACAACCAACACGTATCCTTCACAACCGACCCGTAACACTTTCACAACCAACGTGTATCCTTCACAACCAGCCCATAACCTTCAAAACCAACATGTAACCTTCATTCACCACCAACTCATAAGCTTAACAACAAACTTATTACTGTGAAATAACAATAATATATAAATTTACATATTCTATTTTAATCTTAAGTCATCGATTTCCTTACAAATATTCTGCCGATGAACGAACGTCGTTTTCTTCTCGCCAGCGAAACTTTCCCGCCGTTTCCTTACAAGTATTCCATCGAAAAATTCTAGTTTCCCCAAGACTTTTTCTCCGCCTCGTGAACAAACGCCGGAAAAGTATTACTGTCAATGTTGACGCCGTTGGAAAATTTTGGAGCCCAAAAAAACCCATTTTAAATCATCACAATAATATCATGAGAGAGAGAGAGAGAGAGAGTATTGTCGTCTTCACATGTTTTAAACTCTTGGGTTTTGTGTTTTGGGGACTCAGGGAATTATGGGTTTGCTTTTGGGGTTTTGGGAGCGTTGAAAAAGTATTGGGAGGGAGTGAAACACTTGTAATGAAATTGGGGGCTAGAAGCAAGTTCCCCTTTAAATTAAGTTAATTATTAGATTAGTCGTTTTTTAAAATAAATTATGAATTAGTTTAACAAACAATCTGGGTTCTCACTTCACGTTAACAGGAAATGGGAGGAGTATTTTAGCTCAACTTTGGAGAATGTAGGGTAGATTAGCAAGTTTTTAGATATTGGAAATAGTTGTAAACAGGGAAATGTTGGGGGTTTGTAGGCAATAAAGCCAACATGAGGAGGCAGCGATGCCTGCACTTTCGCATTCCTCCCGCCCAAATTTCATCGATCGTCCTCCTCTTGGATCCCAAAACCCCAGCGACGAAAAAGAAAAAAACCCTAGCGGATCCTAAATCCAAGTGTAAGTCCCCAATTCAAACAGAAATGATGATTTTTTTCGTGAAATTTCTCTTGTTGAGTTGCATTTTTAGTATAGCCACTAGTTCGATCGTTTGTGGGATTAAGTGGATTATGTTTTCCCCCTCAATTTCTGCGAGGATTTTCCAATTTATTTGCTAATATCTCGACCAGCGCTTTTGCTTTTCTTTATTTGTTCTGAAATCGCTTTCTCCCAATCTAATTGATGTCAATTGTTGAAATGCCTTTATTAACCCTAATATTAACTAATAAGTGTTTCTTCATCTGGTGGTATTTACTGTTAGTGTACATAAGTGATAATGATACATTTAAACTGCTAATGAATGACATTTCATGAATCGAGCTTACTACTTTCGGTTTGTAGTGAATTGAATCCAAGTATCTCCGGTTCAAATCAAAATGTGCTTTTGAAATCTTAAGTCATGGATGATCTTTTTTCTAAAAATTCTGTCAAAATTTTTGAGTACACTAGATGAGATATTGGAGTCAATATAGTGTTTTTTTCACTACCTTCAGATTATGAAAGTGAATAGATGGACAGCGACCTACACAAAACACATAAAGCAAAAGAGGAAAGTATATCAAGACGGGATCTTGAAGCTCTCAGGTGACAAGGTACACCTTTCACATCTTTCAAATTATTGTTAGTATCTTTTGCTTTTAAAAGATAGAAATTTCCTTTTTATGTTCGACACCATTTCTTCAATGGCTGTTGGTTATCATTGCCCCAGGTGTAAAAACCCACCTTGTGCATTTTCTCTTTGTCATGAAATCTTATAGGAAAGTAGGTAGACTCTTATGTTTTATCCTCCAATGATTCAATATAAGTTTTGTTTCTATTAATCTAGCTCTGCATTAAGGAGTGCCTTTCTAGAGAAATTAGTAGAGGGGTTCCTTTGAGATGCTGGATACCTTGTGGCTTCAAAAATAAAGGGAGCTTTTGGCAAACGAATAACTTGTGTTAGATTTTTTTCACCAGTGTTTTTTTTTGACGAACTACCCTTGCCTTCAATAAAACTATGATAAGATGATAAATTAAGTATTTATTCTGGTTTTAATATACACTAGCAAAGGGCTAAATATCGACATCTTGACCTTTGTCTTATTTAATGAATTGGGATTATGAATGACATCCATGAAGGGTCCTTGTCTTATTTTAATGAGAATGTATCAGAAACATTCTACGGGTTCCTAATTTTACATACTTTGCATGTTGACATCTTGACCTTTGGTGATTAAGGAGGCAATTTTGTGAGTAAGATTTGGCAAAATTCTAAGCATTAAGTGAGCTTGGCTTCACTCACTCAACCCAGCATATAAGGTTGTTGCTTTAATTTTCTATGATTCTATTTTTTTCGTTATTTACCTTAGTTCAAGTTTGCAAGGTATGCCTTGTTTCATTCAGGATATTACATTCATGTGTTTCTATCTTCTAAGGCTGCGATGGTCCTTTCTCTGTTCTTAATTAGATTGCTGTAATTCATCTATCTTCTTAGGTACTACTGTATGATGATTGCGAGAAACTTATAGATAGCAGATTTTTGAAAAAGGATGAATTGGTTGAATGTGGTGGGATGCTGGTATTTGATAGTCATCTTGTTGACATCGGGAACCCTGAAGAATGTCACATGCCTTCAGCAGATTTAAATGGGGGTGGAGAAGATGTGGAATCGAAAGAAAGAGCTGGAGCATATAGACGGAAGGTTTAGACTTGCACACACAACAATTTGTTTTTTTTTGGAAATATTTGTAGCACATAGAAGTATTTAAATTATTATTCTTGGTTTGTTACAACCCTTTTACTTAAAAAAGTGCAGGCCTTTCACCTTGAAATTAAGAAAAGCACATTGCAAAATTTACCATCAAAGAACCATTCAAATGCAGTTCATGAAAGCAAGAAAGGTAATTCTTTTTCTCAAACATGCATTTCAAGGCACATGCACAAGCTATATATTCTAACTTTTAGGCATTTGTATGTGAATACTTTTAGCTATAGAAAACAAGAGAAACACAAGACAAAATGAAGCAGCTCCAGAACATTCCAATTCCATTTCCAGCAATAACAGAGGTTAGTGTACATGTATTTGCTTGCAGAGGTCAGATTCCAGTCAAATAGCTCTTATCTTCAACCATTATAAACCCATTTATATATCTATTTTTTATAACCATTTATATATTCTTTGATTCATTGGAAATATCATTTTCATCCTTTTGCCAGTAAAACCAATGACATGTTTATTCTATTTGTTAGCAATTATTGTTTTTTGTCAACCAACTCTTTTTGCTTAATGGTGTATTTATCTTTCTGATATCTTATGGTTTACTACTCAGGGAATCAGCAGACTAAGCAGTGTGGTGCTGGGGTGCTTCAAAGTGGTCCAGATGAAGCCCAGACCACTTTAAAAGGTTAGCATCGGAATATGCTTTTATTGCAGGCCCAGGTAGTGGAATAGAAAATTGAAATACCATGATTTTCGGAGATTTTCATATTTTCACCTGTGGAAACAATTACCTAAAGATATCATTATTGTTTTTTAAACCCACCAAAGACTGTATATTTTCTTGACATTGTTGGACATCTAAATGTCCAGTAAATGAAGTTTAATTTGTAATAAAGCTCATACCCGTTAGCAACAAAAGGGTGACTATATATTTTAATTTGTCATGTCTAAGCTTGTATAACACACTAGAACCCAGGAACTCACCAAAAGAATTATCATGAATACTAATGAACCTCCTACAGTCCATGAACGTGCATTGCATGACAAGGAAACTACACATCATGGTTTTACAAGTTTTTGCAGAAACAATTGAATTTGCATGTTCCCAGCCATTTTATCTTGATACATGATAATATTTATTTTTCTTTGATGTTTTCCATCCTATGTAGAATGGACTGCGTTGTACACTACTCAAATAACTCAAAAATCAAAAAGATACCATGATGGCATTTTGCAGCTTGTCAGTCGTGGTTCACATATGAATCAGGTTAGTTGATGCTCTTATTTACTATTATAGTAGGTTTCTATGCTTTAGGCATCTCCTAAAGGAACTCTTTTGAATATTCAAATGATTGTTTAAGATTTCAACTTAAAACATCAATATATGGGAGAGGGGAATGGCAGTGGCGGTGGGGAGCTGCAGGGAGGGAACAGCTATTTTCTAAAACAAAAATTAGGGTAATATGGATTTTTTTAATAACATGTACTATACATATGTTACTGGGAGGAAAAAGGGGTAGGGAGTCCTTTAAAAGGTACGTGCTTTTCCGCATTTGAATACCCCACTTGTGTGGGTGGGGGCATATGGTTCGGAAATTTCGGGGGATGGAAGCATTTTCCCCTTAAAAATTATAAAGATCTGAAGGCATTTGAGAAACCCAATCTTTGCATGACTTGAATTACTGGATTGCACCTTTACCTAGGTCACCTAACTGTTACTTTGGTAATTTTTTTGCTTACTAATTGCATTTCATAATCAATAATAGAGCATTTCCAATTAACAGATGGTACATGTTGATTTCTTTGAGCACTTGATTTAGTTTCATATGGCAGCAGTTTGCACCTTTTCATGGGCAAATACTAAAGCAGAAAGATTTTTGTTCTGTAGAAGCTACACCTTATATTGGTATTTGGTAGTGATCTACTCGTTTATATGCAACTCTCTCACTGGATGCAGTGTTTTTTGGCTTCCAGTTCTGATTCAGCAATGTCGTACTTGCAGGTTATCTTATTAAATGAAGATGGGTCAGTACTTAGCAGCAAGTACCTTAAGTCAGTTGAATGTGTTGAAACTGGGCAAGACTATGAGTTTCATAATTACCTGGTTCAGATTTGTGAGCCATGTGCTCTTCCAGGAGGTAAACTTCTTCTGGTAGACAGACCCTTATTGGGGATTTTCTTTGTTGCCCCTATGCACACAGTTTATATTTGCAAGGCCCATCATTGTTTACACTGGAGTATGTCCAAGATTTTAACATGCAATGAAGCAACTTACTTTTTCATATTCCAAGAGTCCTGAGTATCTAGTATGAGTGAAAAATATTTCTATCATGCAGATAAGTCGCATGAGGGCTTTTTGCAGCAAGTGGATGGTTGTAGAAATACAGGAAAGGATGTGCTAATGGCTAATCAGAAAATCACCAGAACCAAGTCAATAATTAATGGTCAGTAGCATGCATAAATTGCTTTTCGTTCTCAGATGACTACTACCAGCTACAATAAATTTTTCTACGTTTCAGATAGATCAATGACCAGCTGTGAGGTTACCACTTCTGGCTATGCTATGAAGTGTGATTTATTAATAGCATTTAAATTTACCTTGACTTTTGTTGATATAGAAAAGGTTAATACTTTGTAGATTGTAGCAGCTCAGCTAATGGCAGATTCACTGATCTTATTAGTGAAGCCAACTAGCCAATATGCTAAACAAGTTGTCATGTTCAGTAAAATTTATTTCACCTATATACAGCCAATACCCAATATGAGCATGCAGGAGTTGCTTGTGCTAATCCAGATGATGGCAGGTCCACCAATACTCATGTCAAGTCAATACAAGGTGATTTTTCTGTCCTTGATTATTTGCTATTTTATTTTTTGATGACATTGCTGGATGCTATTTCAAATTTTTATTGGGAAGAATGTGATTATTACAATCTGAAAAGAATATCGAGCAACTCCCCTTTTCTGTCACTTTTTTGAGGCTGCTAGCTACAATGATGCTAGCCTTTTGCATGCTTTCTTGTGCTTTGCGACAAGCTTTTTCCACAATAAAGATAGTGTTATAATGTTATTTTCTGCTGTGATCCCTAATAGTTTGTCCTGTAATGTACTCTAAGCTCAGAAGCAAGTAGAACTTAGTTCAACAACAACAACAACAACTAAACCTTTATCCCGAATGTTTGGGGTCGGCTACATGAATCATATTTTTCCATTCTATTTTGTTATGAGTCATCTCCTCTATTAAGTTAGTTGTAATCATAGCATTCTTAATTGCTTCTAACTAAGTCATTCTAGGTCTACTTCTATCACGCCCTGGGCACATGGGTCGTTGGCGCGCGCAAGCCGGGGGACCAAGAGCAACGTGATGTTGGTTTCAATCCACCGTCAAAATGCTAGCACTAGTTGTTTTTGGGCCTTGGGCTTTTTTATTTAAGTCACTAACATTTCTTCACACTAGTCCATGTGGGACTAACTAGTCCATGTGAGACTAAAGTGGGAGTGTCATAATTATCCCACCTTATAAAGACGACGTTCTCGTTATCACGACATAACAATTAGCACATCTCAATATCACTGTCAGACGATGTGGACTATAAATGTGGCTCTAGAGGTGGCTCCCACCGTATCCACATGGTATAACACTTAGCTTTACACTTCCGGTTGGTAACTGTTCTGATATCATTTATCACGTTCCGGGCCCACGGACCCGTTGGCGAGCGTAAGCCGTGAGACCCACCAAGAGAAACTCGATGTTGGCTTCAATCCACCGCTAAAATGCTAGCACTAGTTGTTCTTGGGCTTCTCTATTTAAAACACTAACATTTCTTCACATTAGTCCATGTGAGACTAACTAGTCCATGTGGGACTAAAGTGGGGGTGTCACAACCTCTAGATTTCCTAACCTCATTAACTCTAATATTATTGCTTTTCCTAATCAGTGCACTAATAGGTCTCCGTTGTACATGACCAAACCATTTTAATTTATTCTCTCTCATTTTATCCTCAATAGACGTAACATCTAATTTACTAAGGATGCACTCATTTCTTATCCTATCTTTTAATGTATACTCACAAGACCATCACAACATTCTCATTTCTGCTACACTCATTTTTTGAACATGTTATTTTTTAATTGCTAAATACTCTGATCCATAAAGCATAGTTGGTCTTATAACTAACCTATAAAATTTTTTCTTTAGTTTTATTGGTATTCTGCGATCACATAAGATTCCCGAAGCACTTCTTCATTTCAACAATCCCGATTTGATTCGATGCACAACATCATCTTCTATCTCACCATCATGCCTAATGATTGATCCTAAATAGCAAAAATGATTAGTTTTAGGTATTTCTTGGCCATCAATATGTACCATAGACTCTCTTCCATTCCTAGTTTTACTAAAAATACACATTATATATTCTGTTTTTGTTCTACTAATTCTAAAACATTTAGATTCAAAAGTTGGTCTTCATCTTTCTACTTTAGAAATAATGTCTATTCTAGTTTCATCAACTAATACTATATCATCGGCAAATAACATACGCCATGAGATTTCATCCTGAATGTGCTTAGTAAATTGTTCTATAACTAATGTAAAAGGATAATGACTTAAAACTAACCCTTGGTGTAAACCTATGGTAATAGGAAATATGGTTTAGTCTCTCATTCGTTAGTTATTACTCTAGTTGTTACTCTATCATATATATTTTTAATCACATCAATATATATACTAGATACATGTTTCTTTTCTAATACTCACTACATTACCTCTTTAGGCACTTTATCATAAGATTTTTCTAAATCGATAAAAATTATATATAGGTCATTTCTCTTTTCTCTATATCTCTCCATCAACCGTCTTTAAATATGTATATGTTCCATAGTTGACCTCCCAAGCATAAAACCAAATTGATTTTTAGATATACTTATCTCTTTTCTTAGTATTTGTTCAATTACTCTCTCTCAAAATTTCTTAGTATGACTCATAAGTTTTATACCTTAATAATTTGAACAACTTTATATATCCCCTTTATTCTTATATATCAGTATCAAAGTACTAATCCTTCATTCATCTGGCATTCTTTTCGTCTCGATAATCTTATTAAATAGTTTAGTTAACCATCCTAAGCCTATATCTCCAAGATATTTTTAAACTTCAATAGGGATATTGTTCGATCTTACGGTTCTTCCATTTTTCATTTTCTTTAGAGCATCTTTAACCTCGTTAATCTAAATTTTTCGACAATATCTATAGTTCCTATCATTCACTATATGGTCAAAATCTCTATTTTGCTCACTTGTTTGGTTATCATTAAACAAATGATAAAAGTAACTCATCCACCTCTCTTTTATTTCCTGTCGGTCACTAGAACTCTTTGATCCTCATTTTTAATACACCTAATTTACCGAAATCTCTACTCTTCCTTTCTCTAATCTTAGCAAGCTTATATATATTTCTCTCCCTCCTTAGATTCTAACTTATAAAATTTTTATAAGCCTTATATTTATTCTCACTAACTGCTCTTTTTGCTTTCTTTCTTATTAGTTTATATTTTTCTAAGTTTTCCCTATGTCCTACACTTTTGTCACTCTTTATATAAAGTTTTCTTCTCTCTAATAACCTTTTGCACACTCTCATTCCACCTCCAATTCTCCTTACAGTCTAATCTACAACATTTAAATTCTTCTAGTATATTTTTAGTCACTTTCCTAATACACATGCTATTCCACATACTATTAGTCTCATTATCTTTGTTCCACTTCTTTCATTATCTTATCTTTAAAATGTATTAAATTCACTTCTTTTAAATTCCACAATTTAGTTCTTAGTCTCTTGTTCACGTTAGTTTTTTTACTCCACTTCTTAATAGATATGTCTAAGACCATCCATCTATATTGTGTACTTAAACTCTCTCATGGTATAACTTTACAATCTTTGCATATTAACTTATCTGTCATTCTACTAAGAAAAAAAAGTCTATTTGACTATTATTAAAACTACTTTTAAAGGTTATTAAGTGTTCATCCTTTTTTCTAAAAAGTATATTGTTATTATCAAATCATACGATATTGCAGACTCTAAAATTGATTTATTCATATCGTTCTTATCTCCATACCCGAAACATCCATGTATCCTCTCATATCCGTTATTATCCTTACCAACATGCCCATTAGTATCCCCTCCTATAAATAATTTCTCTCGAAATGTGATTCCTAGTAATAATTCATCTAATCTATCTCAAAATTCCCTTTTAGTACTCTTGGGCAAGTCTATTTGTGGTGCGTAAGTACTAATAATATTAATAACCTTTACACCTAAGATAATTATTATTATTATTATTATTTCTCCGACTATTTTTACCTCTACAAGACTTTCTTTTATTATATTAATTACAAGAACTCTCACTCCATTACTATTATTCTCTTTTCTCGTGTACCAAAGTTTAGATTCGGTCTTTTTAATTTCTCTAGATTTTTCACATGTCCATTTGGTTTCTTGTAAACAAATTATATTTATTATTTTTTTCTAAGCATAACATCCACTAATTTCATAGTCTTTTCGGTAAGTACCTATATTCCGAGTAGCTAAGCTAATTCTATTTTCTTGTAAAAGTCTCCTACCATTTTCCCTCTTAAATCGTTCTAGTCTGCCTAAAACTATTAGATAACCTATTAGAGGATTGTGGATTCTTAGAACACCATTGCTTACTTGTTATTACACCGAGGTGATGTCGATGTAATGCGTCGCTTCCGGGGGGCGCCCTAGCAAACCACCCTTGCTTACTTACCATTGCATCGGGGTGTCATCGATGCAACACATCATGGTGGGGACGTCCCAACAAGTATATAATGTGATTCATTTTTCATGTGGATCCGACTATATTTTACGCTGACTATCGGCTACCTAACCCAACTTAGTTCAATTGATTTCCCTAATCATGTGTCCATACATGAACTGTGGCAAGCTGTATCAATCATTTCCAAATTCTGCTTCACTTCCTCAAGTGTTTTCATAAGCTACATTCGTTTGAGAAAGATCCACATATGGTAGCTTCATGGAAAGCTTCTTAACTAGCAGTAGTTATGTTCATTAGCAAGTTAAATCAAAGATCATCGACATCAAATGAAGGGTACCGACTTAGTTATTCTTAAGATGTTAGACAGATATACATACAAACTTTTAGTATGATGTGTTTTTGAGATATTATTTATGCAGTTAACCCCTAGAAGTGCACAGCCTTGTCAAAGCACAAATAGAGATATTGTGAAGAGAGAGAATAATCTACATAAATTGACATTGTTCAACCTTTGTCCTACATCTCAGATGAAAGATTAGACATTCTCAAACAGAATTGCGAAACATACGATGACGAAATATCTCTCAAATCTAACCCAAAGACCCACCAAAGCATTTGCCTAGTATCATGTCGAAAACCCTATATTGATGTGCAAGGATAGATTACAAGAAAGGACAGGCCAATTCCATGGGCAAACAACTTCACAACGTTTCAACATCAAATTCTTCTCAACCTCATGATTTATGTCATTATTTGATTTGTGTCGGGTGACAGAAATCCAGACAGATGTAAGTGAAGGAATAAGCCAGATATTTACCATTTGACTAATTGTTAATTAGTAATATTGGTGGATGTGTCAATGTATAAATAAATTTTATATAAAATCACCATGTACTACATTTCCAAAACCATTAGTTCATATGAGATTCAATTAGATACTTTGATTATTTACAATTGACTTTATTTTATACGTGTACAGCTGTTCTTACATTGAAAATCTTTTCATTGTGGTTAGAATGGAATGCTTTGTACACCACTCAGAAAACTCAGAAAGCAAAAAAGTATCATGATGGCATCTTGCAGCTTGTCAATTGCAGTTCACATATGAAGCAGGTAATTTGATTTCTTTTTCATCTTTAGTAGTGGGAGCTCTTTTATTCTGTTATATGCTTTTTGCACATAAATATTTGCTCCCAAGGAATTTTCTGCATTCATGCCTCAAATTAGCATTTTAGGAAACAGTCTAGTGTCTTTTTACCAGAGGATAACAGCTAAGAACAATCCTGCATGATCTTAAGGCGTTTTGATATTCAAAATTTCATCTTTTATCAACAGAAGCTACTTGCAAATTTACCAACAGAAAAAAAAAAGAACTTTCACTTTCTTGATCAAATGATTGTGGTGCCCTCTTCTATGTGTTACCATACCTGAACATTATGTTATGCCACAAATTGTCAAAATTTGCAGTTATATTTAAATTCTTTGAATCTTTTCTTATGTTTATGGCCTTAGATCATAAGTGAGGTCATTGGTTTCTGTTATTATTTTGGCAAACATGTTGTCTCTGCAATATAATATCAAATAGAATTTGAACTCTGGAAGGATGTTCCCTTTTAATGATATACTGATAGTTATTTTTAGCTTAATTGTGTGCCACAGTTTTGCAGTTATTGTCATATGCACAGCATCAAAGCTGAGGAGAAGTTTAGTTTTTTATTTTCAAATGTATCTTTCATCTTATTAATTCTCTTATGTTTTCAGGCTATTCTATTTAAAGAAGACAGGACTATCCTGGGTAGCCAGTACCTTAAATCTAACGAATGTGTAAAAACTGGGCAGATGCGTGAATTCGCTAACTATCTCATTGAGATCTGCGAGCAGATAACTCCTGTGGGGGGTACTGTTCTTCTCCCGAATCCAAATGATTTTTTTGGGTTTGTTTGTCCATGATAAGTAATCAAATTTTATTCACATGAAAGCAAAGGATTAATATCTGCAGAATTCTTTATCATCTACACCTGAAAGGATACATTAAAGCAGATCACAATTTTCCCTGGCAACATTTGCTGAATTTTGAAGTCTGATCAATATATAGTGTCAAGTGCAGATGATTCCCCTAGGCAACCTTTGGAAGAAGTTGCAGGTTTGAGGAGTACATGCAAGGACAAGTTAATAAATAATAGGAATGACCATGATGACAAGTCATTGCTCAAAGGTTTGCTGGCAATTTACTAAAGTGCTACCTATATAAATTGTGCTACCTTTATATATGTTCGGCGCATGGACAATGTGTTCACATTTGATCATGTAAAGTTGTACATCTTGTGACCTTATTGTGCAAGTGGATTGTCCAAATACATGTAGAGCTATCTTAACCAAATTGGTTTCAACAATGTCAAACAGATGTCCAGAAGGGCAATTTAGGAGAGGTCACGCATGGTGCTAACTCTAGCAGTGGGAGGTCTACCACTATCAGCTATAGGCCAATATGTGACGGTTTGTTTGTCCTTGACGTTGTTCTCCTTTAGTAGATTATTGTAATCTTAATGTAGACGGCTATATATCTCTCTTTTTTTTTCCTTCCCTACATTGGTTCTTACTCAATACACTTGTATCTCCAAGTATATGGATATTTTCTGTGTTTATGATTGATTTGGCTCCTCTAGCATCAAGTTATATCGGGGATTTCTTGTTTTTCTCTTCTTTTTTTCCAGTCAGTCAAATTTTGTCCTCTCTTAAAAGGCCAGTCCGTACACCACAATCTTCAGACGCTCTCCTGTTGGATGCTGATAATAAGGGCAAAGTTCTGGAATGTAATGCCAGGAAACCCAAGGTAGATGATCTCACAGGTGAGCATTATACTGATTCTTGGGGGTTATAAACTCCTAGGCAGAATATGTTTGAAGTAAAAAGCTGATCGTAATATTTCTGCTTCAGGCAATATCAGCATTGTAATCAGTGATTGTCAGCAGAGGCCAGTATCACATGAGTATTCCAATTCATCTAATCCGCTGTCTGGGTATGTACATTTTTAATTCACAGTACTCGAAATATAATCTCTTTGCAGTTGACAGATGTTAAGAATTTTTTTTTGTCTGAGAACTTTAACACGCAAGAAACATACTCTCATATGCTCTTTTATTCTCATTCTGAAGTAGTTCAACCTCAAATTTCACAATTATATCTTACACATTTTCCATATAAACCCCTCAGACCATTATATATTTTATAAAAACTTCTAAAATCAAACATCTCAAAATTCTTTAGATCTCTTTAAGTTGTTCCAAATTGCACATTCTAGTTAAAATCTTGACATTTGCAAATAAGATGACCAGGTCATAAGTAAGTTTCAGAAATATTGCTGAAACTTGTCAAATCCTTAGAACTTCATAATATTTCCAACGGTTTTCAAATTGCGCAACCTAGTTGCATGTAACAGAATGTGTGAGAATATTCACATTGTTTACTGCTATATTTATGTAATTCTTGCAGAGTAGCACGTGGCACTTCAACAGCCAAACTAGACACAAAAAACGACTTCATAAAAAATCAATGCATAACAAACACCACTGGAGACTATAAAGTTGCAGATGGTAATGATAACAGCGTGGCCAACAATGCTCAAAGAAATTCATCAAAAGCTGTTCTCCCTTCTGATATATTGTCCTATGGACCAGAGGACAGCATGAGTATGGCTGAGATTGCATCTCCCTCAAGCAGTCCTGAGGATCACACAGATGCAAATAAAAAGACAAGCATTGCTGGTGACTTATTCTGTTTGTCCTTTTTAATTTTACCAGGTTTGTTATTAATTTTACTAATATTAGGTTTACTGTTTGAACAGATGAGATAATGACTCTGCAACAGGAATGGACCTCATTATCACATCGAGTATTAACAACTGGAGACATCAAAAACCCAATCAGGTTTGGATATCAGAAGTTCCATTCATTAATTATTTTTTGCGACCAATTTATCCACATGATAATTATGAAAGGCGGCTTACGTTTCCAAAATTCTACTTTATCTATTTGATTAATATTGTCTCTTATAGTCGACTTGCAACTCACAACTACAATTATACTATATCTTGGTTATTTTCTAGGTTAAAGCGCCTTGGTGCTTATTCTTTGTTGCATGATCTTAAACTCCATCTATATATAAGGCCCGTCTGGCCTATAGTTGTTTTTGTTGGAGCACGTGAGTGTGGGGGCCACGTTCTCCAGTGTGGATGAATTTCATCATGAGAGGAGGCCAGCAAACCGCGTATTGTGAAACCGACTCGACTTGTTATGGATTGAGTCTGTTATCGTGAATTGTTTCACGGTGTACTGGACACAACAAGTGAGATTTTTGGTTTGGTTGGTGTCGGCTCAGTTTTGGGAAAACTTCACCGAGGTGGAGAATTGTTGGAGCACGTGAGTGTGGAGGCCACGTTCTCCAGTGTGGATGAATTTCATCATGAGAGGAGGCCAGCAAACCGCGTATTGTGAAACCGAGTGGGGTCCACCTTTCCCAAGTGAAGAATAGCAGCTGGGAAAACGCGTGAGTTGATGAGGCATTTTTTCTTTTAAGCATACAGTTTCAATCATGTGGGGCCACATGTTTGGAGAAAGATCATTGTTCAGCGGACAAAACCCGAGCCCACCCAATTACCCGCTGCTATAAAAGGGCACATAGGGTTTTTTGTTTTGTGTGCTGATAAAGGTGGGATCTTTTGGTAAAGACTCTATCTTTTAGTTTTGGATCTATTCTTTGTTCGTTGGTGTGTAAGATGTCGGGGAAAGAAGGTGCTTCGGATGTCGAGGGTGGTGCTTCTGGCGTGAAGACCATTCAGAGTTTGAATATCCACTCTATGAAGATAGATGTGGAGAAATTTAATGGCACAAACAATTTTGGATTATGGAGATGCGAGGTTTTGGATGCGCTGAACGCGCAGAATTTGGAGGATACCTTGGAGTTAGATGGCAAGCCAGATGAGATTGAAGAGAATGTTTGGAAAAAGATGAATCGAACGGCGTGTGGTGTGATTAGGTCTTGTTTGACTCAAGATCTAAAATATGATGTGATGAATGAGACTTCTGCGAAGAAGATTTGGGAGATTCTCGAAAGCAAGTATTTGACCAAGAGTGTGGAAAATCGCTTGCATTTGAAGAGGAGGCTTTATCGTTTCCAATTAAAGAAGAGAACCTCCATTAGAGATCACATGAACCACTACACGAAGCTTCTTGCGGATTTGGCGAATGTGGATGTCATAATTGAGGATGAGGACAAGGCGTTGCTGTTGTTGAGTTCCTTGCCCGACGAGGAATATGAGACATTCGTTCTTACTCTGATTAATGGGAAGACATCACTTTCGTATAGTGAGGTCACTGCTGCATTGGTGAATTATCATCTTCGGAAGAAGGATAAGGAGAATTCGACTGAGTCAGTAGCAGAGGCGTTGGTCGCAAGAGGGAAGAATCCAAACCGGAAGAATTGGAAGTCACAGTCTAAAGTAGGAAAAGATCAGTGTGCTTGGTGCAAGGAGACTGGTCATTGGAAGAAAAACTGCCCAAAGCTCGACGAATGGATGGAGAATAAGCAGAAGGGAAAAGGAAAGCAGCCATCATCAGAAGCAAATATCGTATCGGATGGTAATAATT